GGAAGCAGCCAATTCATCTGGACTCACTTGCATCAAGGGTCAAGCGATTGATCTATACCATCTGGGTTTGAGTAAATTCATTATGATGTTTGTATAAGGATGAAATTAACTATTCCTGCACTTCTCAAATCATATCCCTGTCACTAAGTGATACGTAACTCTTATTTATATATCTTACATGATTGTATATCAATATTTAAGATGGAGGAGCCTGAAATGTATTTAATATCATGTACAACATATTTAGCTCTAAATACTGTGAAAATAATCTCATTGAGATTTTAGGTCATGTGGTATGTGATGACCAGTGAATCCAATGATCATGTGTACAGTTATGTATCTTCCTGTGTTACATGTGGCAGTTGTTCCTATGCAATGTTATAAGCAAGTTCTATGTTAATGAATCAGACTTCAAAGACTTGCTAACCTCTTACAGAGTTCTACTAACTGAAGAACTGTGGGCTAGAGAGGAAACTCAAACTTAAAATTTGTTTTGATTTCAGTCAAAGGAATTCTTTCCCTTCCAGGGTTTAACGATATTCATGTAGTCAACTTGCTACCAAGTAGCTTTTTGAAATACTTGTGGAATAAAACTGTATTTGTGAAAGGTAATGGAGCGCCTCAGTGTAGCTCTGTATTGCAGGCAGATTGGGCTTTCCATGTGGACGTAATCGGGTCATCTTTAGTTGAGGTTGTACCCTTGGTTTGTGGACCATGAATAACTTCTATACATGTCAACATAAGTGCACTGTTAATGAGTTATTGTGCTTACTCTAGAATGGTTGATGGCAGACCAGCTTTAGTTAGCCAATTAAGTCATTCTGTATATTAGTTTTAGTTTATCTGGTGCCTTTTCCTTAATTGGTAAATTCATATATCTATACTCCAGATCTCTTTGTCTTCTCTGGTATCAATTTGGTAAGCTAACCATAATATCATATTGTGGCATTAAGCTAAAATGATAGCAGATTATTTCCTGACTATCCTGAAACTTAGAAGTTAAATATAAAAATATTACCAATTTTTTACGTCTTCTGAGGGCTTTCTCATTGGCTTTACAGGATTCTTATCAGCTTGCTAGTGTTTCTGAGGTCTCTTTGTTAGTACAAATCCCCTATTCTTATAAAGAAATCAATTATATATCACTTAGTATAAAATGATTTTAATAAGTGAATTTGCAAGAAGTTTTAGAAATAATGACAACATAAAATAATTGTGTAGAAGGTTTTCAGGAAAACTTTAAGAATATCTGAAACTTGGCCGGCGCCGCGGCTCACTAGGCTAATCCTCCGCCTAGCGGCGCCGGCACACCGGGTTCTAGTCCCGGTTGGGGCGCCGGATTCTGTCCCGGTTGCCCCTCTTCCAGGCCAGCCCTCTGCTGTGGCCAGGGAGTGCAGTGGAGGATGGCCCAGGTGCTTGGGCCCTGCACCCCATGGGAGACCAGGAAAAGCACCTGGCTCCTGGCTCCTGCCATCGGATCAGCGCGGTGCGCCGGCCGTAGCGCGCCGGTCGCGGCGGCCATTGGAGGGTGAACCAACGGCAAAAGGAAGACCTTTCTCTCTGTCCCTCTCTCTCACTGTCCACTCTGCCTGTCAAAAAAAAAAAAAAAAAAAAAAAAAAAGAATATCTGAAACTTGAAAAGGAAGCTAAATATAAATAGAAGCTGTTCAGAGAGGAAGGGTGGGAAAGTCATTTGAATCGTAAATAACAGCACTACATAATCACTTACAATTACTATGTTAGCACAAAAGATTATATATCTTTTTTTTTTTTTTTTTTTTTTTTTTTTTTGGACAGGCAGAGTGGACAGTGAGAGAGAGAGAGAGAGAGAGAGAGAAAGCTCTTCCTTTTTCCGTTGGTTCACCCCACAGTGGCTGCTGCGGCCGGCACACCGCGCTGATCTGAAGCCAGGAGCCAGGTGCTTCTCCTGGTCTCCCATGCAGGTGCAAGGGCCCAAGCACTTGGGCCATCCTCCACTGCACTCCCAGGCCACAGCAGAGAGCTGGACTGGAAGAGGAGCAATGGGGACAGAATCCAGTGCCCCGACCAGGACTAGAACCCCGGTGCCGGCGGCGCCACAGGTGGAGGATTAGCCCAGTGAGCCATGGCACCAGCCGATTATATATAATTTTAAGGCTTAGTTTTTATAAGTTATTTTCATGCAAAGTCTTATTGTTTTCCAAATCATTGTCACATTAAGAACAGAAAATAACAAGCATATTCTGTTAGAGATAGTCATTCTGGAGTAAGGCAAAAATAGTTCCAATCTAATAAGAGAAAACTGATAAATTTTTAAAAAGTTGGAAAAGGATTTAGAAATGTAGAAAATAAGTGGAAAGTGTCAAGTTTATTGTATGGCTTTTGAAACTAAGATGATTATAAAGACTTTGTTTTCTTTGTAAAGTTAGATTAAAATAGTAAAAAAAAATATAAGACAAATTCATGTTGACTAGACAAGAGTGAAGTAATGCAGTGCTATGAAACATGAGATACATCATACTATTTTTGAGTAAGTCACCTAGGATGACTTACGGTAAAATTAAATTTTTTTAAAGTGGGGAGAAAAATATTGATTGGTTTGTTAGTCCATTTCTTGTTGCTCTATAAGAATCCCTAAGACTGAGTAACTTATGAAGAAATGGAGTTTATTTAGCTCACAATTTATGAAATCAAAATTTATGTAAATCATGTTGCTCCATCTAGAGAGGGCTATGCCTTGTGTCAAGTAATGGCAGAGTGGTTAAAGATACACAGGTACATGCAGAAGGAAAGCAAAAGGAAATTCACTCATTTTTAACAGCCTGCCTGCTATCTTCATAACTGAAACCCAGTCGTGTGAGAGCAGGAATTCACTCAAGAAAGGCATTAAATCCATTTATGAGGACTAAGTCCTAGTGACCCAAACATCCCTCTCCACCAACATTGCCACACAATGCATTGAGCCTCTACATGAGTTTGGTGGAGACAAAAACTCTAATCAAATTAGCAAAGGTCCTGTTCTATCATAAGATGTGACTTAAGATAGCAGATGTAAAACTCCATTTCTGACTTTTCAAAAATGATCCTTTGAGTAGACAGAAGCTCTGATATCATGATGCCCTGAAATGGTAAAAGGCTATCTTGATTTAGAATAAGTTCATGGCAGGAACTTAAAGAACTCTGACTTGACTCTAGATGGAGTCTCTTCTTTACAACATACTGCCTAAACAACAGGCATGAGCTTATTAGGACACAAGGCTGAAAGGTGTTGATGCTGAGGAACTAACTTGAGGAGAGACTTTGAAAAGAGCAATCACCAGAACAATACTGTTCATCGTAATTGTTTTTTAGGTATCTCAATAATTAAAGTAGAAAAATAATAATTGGAAATATTTATCAAATATGTATTATGTACTAAGCTTGGTAGTGAACCTTTCATATGTATTATATGATTTAATTTTTCTCAGTATCCCTATAAATTTGGGGAAAATAATACACTCTATAATCGCTAAGAAATTATGATATGATACAAATATGGGATTCTGACTTTCCAAAAAATTCTTCTTGATAGCCCAAATGAAAGGAAACAGCTCTTCAATACATAAATGAAAGGTTCTGCTGATTGCTTAAATAACTGCTTCTCTGACAAACTTTATAAACACCAAAAAAAAAATCATGCTAGCCTTTTAACAAAATTTTGTTTACTAAGGAAGAGAGCAGAAATTTATAATATTCACAATATTAAGGAAGGAAAGAAGAAAAGAAAGGAGTGGTATGCAATGAAGGAAGATGGATAATAAAGAAATGCCAGGTGAATAAAGGGAGGAACCAAGAATAGAAAAAAGAAACTTGTTCATAATTCATAACTAAAAATGGTAACAAATTGTTGAGAATACAGTGATTGATTTGCTTTTTAAGTAAATTTAGAATATAATTTCCTCACATAATTTTGTATTTTTAGACTGATATTTAAAAATAAGATTTCTATATTGCTAAAAAATGTGATTTTGTTGACTAAAATGTTTATAGTATGTACTTGGTATCTGAAATACAAACCAGGTTTAAAGAAAATCTGTTGATGTTCTGTCATTTTTGACTGAAGAAACTGTAAATTTCTTATGATCCCAACTGATATAAATAAAGAGTCATAGAGCTAAAAATCTTGTTTGTGAAGACAACCTGCTCATGAAATAATGCACCTGGAATTTTTCCCTACTCTTGGTAGTTTCTTTTTCTTTTTTTTTTTTTTTTTTTTTGGTAGTTTCTTATCGTGGGATCTCAGCTGATGGCTTAGGTCGCGCTGAAGCCCTCCATAGATCTTGTTTTCCAGAGATTACATTCCAGTTTAGTTATTTGAGATATGTTGTGAGTATTTTTATGCTTTGTTTTGATGCTGGGACATTGATAAATCTAGTAAAAGTACACTTTATAGAAATAAAAATTAAATTAAAAGGAGACCTTCATTGAAACAGTGAACTTAGTGCAAGTGAAAAGAATAGTGTTCACACAATTGCATGTTCTCTGAGGGTCACCAGAGAATAGGCTAGAAAGTAATTCTCAAAAGCATTTTACACTTTAAACAGATATAAGCTTTTAAGAAAAATACATAATATCAGTCCCTTAAATAGGTTTAAGAATAAAATATCATTGAAAATACTTGGAATAGCATAATTTTTATAAAATATTATAAAAACTAAGAAAAGTTAGAAATACAAGTGTAAATGGGTTCAAATATTTTAAGGTATTATAATGCATGAAAGTTTACTTGCAGTAATATTCTTTGCTCCTTTAATAAATAAAAATTGTAGGGGAAAACAAATCTAAAAAGCAGCATCTGTTAGATAAATATATTTAATAGGAAGTGTTATAAATAGTTGCAAATATGGGTAAAAAACCTAGTGAATGCATATGTAACTAAATAGAACCATGATATAAAATATTTAGTAAGACTGGGATTTGGCCAAAGAAAAGTGTTTAAAAATTAATCTGTACTTACAACAGTATATATTCTTTCTCAACAGGTGACCATAACGATTGTCATTTAATGCTGTTCAAGATCTAAGCATCGTTTTTGCATGACTGCTACAAAAGGATTACTTTCCAGAAACCAGTTCCTTCCTCAAGAGTGTAATTTGGGCCCTGTTTTCAGAAAGCAGGTACAATCCATCTTTATTACATTGGCTTTAAAACTGAAAGATATGTTGAAAGAAACATAACCTTACAACCCATATGTATCATTTAGGGACCTCCTTGAGTCAACTGATCAATATGCTAAAGCTTAATATTTAATGTTCTCAAATTTAGGAAGTGACTTATCCTTGAATTGCAAATGTCTTGATTGTGTCAGTAAATATAAACATTCTAAAAATATTCTAGGAATATTATTAAGTGAAAAGGTCGAATGTTTTGTCTTTATTTGATTTCTAGTTTGTTATAAGCATGACAAGTGTATGAAGATGGTGTGAAACTGCTGAAAATGATGAGAGAAATTGTACTGTGACACAGCTCCTGTTTCTTGGTATATTCCACGCCAACAGAAAATGTGCTACTGAAGGGATTTTGCACTTTGTGATGTGTTTGTCTTTGAAGACAGCTTAAGTTAAATAAGCAAGAAATTGTGGGCAACAAGGTAGGGTCAGGGCCACCAGGGAGGGGGATGTTTTGGAAGAGCAGACTGTTTATGCTGATTACTCAGCAGCGCCAAATTCCTTTATATTTAATGCGATTGATGGAAATCACTAAATATTAATTACACATATTTTGAGTAATATTGACCATTGCAGAAATTAATAATAGTGCTTCAAAATGAATAATTTAAAATATATGATTAGACCGATCTTTAATATTCCTGGCTAAGAGGGTAACAATAGATAATCCTAGATTAAATCTGATACATGCTACTGAACCACAATATTCATGACATTTTTTAGATAATCAGCCAAGGAGGTCAATCTGTTCTGGATATAAAATGATGTATTGTTGGTTTCCAGTTAGTTATAAAATATTGACAACATTACACTCAGTTTCAAAGCTGTCACATGTCTATCCTCTAATTTGTCAGGTTAATTCAGATAAAATCAATACAAAATTTGGAGAGTTTTTCCTCAGGCTATTCTGTGCTTTCAGTTTCTCTAAGCTTAAATATTATGGTTAAAGAAAAGTGACTAATTCTGATGCTAAGGAGCAATTCCATGTAATAATAAAGGAGTCAAAAGCTTTTCCAGTATATTTGATTTTGCTTTAAATGAGTCACACCAAAATTTTGTCGTGGCATGAAGACAATTTAATATCTCATGTGCCTCCCTTTCAGTTCATGTAATTATGCCAGGTTGCCATGTCATTGAAGGTCCTAATGTATCAGATATTCTTAAATTAATTTTGTGAAGAAAAGTAGCCATGAATTTCCCATTTTGCTTCCTAAGAACAGAAAACCAGGGAAGAGAGATAAATGGGAAAAGGGTGGAAAGACTCTTAACAGTGAAATTCCAAACATGGGTAAAAGTGAGGTCCCTATAAATCTGCCCGCTGAAATATTCTAACATTAGGCAAATTGTAAGTCAAATTTTACCATGACAGATCTGTCTGTTACAATAAAAATGATTTCATTGTAGTTTTCATATACAACATAAACTAAAAATAACAATCTGTATTGTATTTACAAATATAAATGTATGAGAAAGTGCCCATTTCCTGTATATAAGCCATTCTGTCCTTAACTCTTAAGCACAGAAGCATCTTAACAAATATTAACTTGTTAATTCTGGGATATCTATGAATACTGGAGATAAATTCAGTCTAGGCAACTTAACTGAATTCTGCATGTTAGAAACAGGTTACAATGGTTGAAGACATTCACAGAAAGACAAGTAAACATAGGATAGCAGCTGTAGGTAAGAACGTTTCTGAGCTATTGCTTACTTCCAGATGGATGATGGATATGCAATTTAAATTTGTGCTAGGTGTACCAGCAGATGGAAGGAGAATGGAGTAAATGTCTTGGCCACCTGTGAACTGATATATTCTATCAATTACTTAGTGAATTGTATAAAATTCACGTAGCTCAATAGAACTCTAATTAATTTTTGGAAAGAGACTTTTTGTCAACCTATTAATAAATCCAAGTTTCAAGTTGAGGATGAGAAGCATATTTAACTGTGCAGAGAACCAATGAAAGACAGTTTGGCATAGCACAGTTCCCTCTTGCTATGTCACTCATGCCATTGCTCTGCTCCACTAATTGAACAGCATATTGGTAGAATAGGAAGCAATTGAAACAAATGAGACAGATTGAGCACTCCAAAAAATACATAAGTGAATTAGAATTGATGAATCTGCTAAGAGTGGATTCACTGTGTCACTTTAAATAAAACCCCATTTCATTCACAGACTTGCCCCTAATCTGTCACTACAGCTACTTAAAACATTCAGAGGAGACACTGACGGTTTCATCTTGACACAACCGACTACATTCCTGCCATAAGAGGCAACATATATTAAAAGAGGTCCTGAGTTCAGCCTCTGAGGATGAAATGTTTCACTCAATGACTCAGACAACGCTTAGTATAGACATTGGCTTTTCTCCAGGAGAATGCTCCATCCATTAGAGAAGAGCCCGAGTGGCTCTAGGTTACATTGATTTTCAGAACTGTCAGGATTCTCATTACCTAATGAATGAAAACCCCTATAATGTAGCGCGAATATATGCAACTAGAGAGTTCTTTAGCTAATGACAATAGAGAGGAAGTTTCTCTGAATTTCCAAAAAGGGAATTTTAATTTTTGTCATTAATGGTCTTGAAAATTCCAAGTTTGAAAAAAATGCATGCCACATATGTGTTATGTATGTAAAAAGCACATCTATTTGTTGAAATATTTACAGTGTGGGCCAGAATTGGTGACTAGACAAAGGAAATTCCGTGGAGATAGTTTTGATGGAATATTAGAACTGTATGGCACCTGAAGTGTCCATGGTAGTGCTTCAGGAGCAGTGTACTCAGAACAACAGAAAACTGATGTCTCGTTGACAAGAAGGGAGATGCTACATTTTCTTCCTAAATGTATATTCAATAATACAATGTTAATTCATGTTGAGGTATTTGTTATAGGCATCTGTACTTGGTCGTTGTAAAATTATTTATTTTTAAATGTATTATTTAACTATTAGATGCAAAGAAATTTATGTTTCACTCATTTTTTTAAAGCCAGGTAACATAGTTTTTACTCCATTTAGGCATTCATTTTTGAGAAGATGTTATCCTTGCATAGGCATTTAATTGACCTTCTCCAACTCTTCCCTTTATCTCTTAATCCTATCTAGTATGCTGTATACTTTTAGTTTTACTGCTTTTCAGGTTCAAACTCAAGGACAAATGCCACAGCTTCCACAAGTCGCATCATGTATGAAATAAAATAATCATGCCATATACTGACTGATATCAGTATTGCTTCTTCTGTTTTATTTCTTAGACAATATTTTTAAAGATACATCCTATATCTTATACCAATCTGTGCCCTCCTTGATGACTTGCACATAGTGTATTCTTAATTAATATATAAAGAAAAATTGCAGAAGTAATGATTGATAAAACTGATGGTCAGAGTTTCAAAGGCAGACTTGTATCTTTCAAAGCTTTAATATATCCAATAAATTCTCCACAAAGCTTTGAAACTTCACACAGTGGTACCGAAGTGTACTGAGTTCATTCTATTCCGTTCCCAATTACCATGACTGCATGTGTCATTATAAAAGGTTTTATGCTATCACTTTAATGTTACATTAAGCAAGTTGATATATTTGTTTTTATGCCATGTTTCTTCTCTAATTTTTTCTGATATATTAAAGATGTGAGGGGAAAGAAACAGTACTTTCAGTAAAAATGTTTTGATCACATGTGATATAGGTGACTTTTGTGGTTATACTTATAATATGCGATATGTAGATTTCCAGGAAATGTAGAAGCTTCAGATTATGAGTGCTTATAGTATTGAAAGGACATCAAAAAATTTGAGGAAGATGAACTTAAAAGGTAATGAATATTTTTTGAAGTGCCCTTGTACTTATATGTAAATATTCATTCTTCTGTTATGTTTTATGGAATGGTAGAGCTCTGTAACACTTAGTGTGATCACCATCTCATGCAATTAATTTAAAGACAAAATCTGAATTATACAAAGAACTTCACATGATGCATGTGCTTCTCAAATACATTCATAATTTAAAATAATGAAATACTTCATCATTACATTCTGAATATAATGTTTAATAATTAAAATATTTGATACTGAGCAAGCATGTAGAATGGGAACTATTCAATTATCTTTGAGGTTTTATTTGGGTAAAGAAAGAGGTGAAAAATCACCTTTGTGTCTATATGTCACCATAGCACATCATGTTGTTCTAAGATTTCAGTGGTGCGTAGCAGTGGAAATCACAGAGATGAGTACATAGACTTTTCCATAGACTGAGTTTTCCAGGTCATTTAATCCTTTCTAGCATCTTCAAAACTGTCTTACAGAGTTAATGATAACAGATTGTCATATTATTGTCCTCATAGTAGCCTGCTGGATAGAAGATAAAGAATACTATACTCTCAAAGTAATAGGTGAAAATATAATGAACAAGTCTTCAAATCCATTCTCTCTCTGTGTGTGTGTGTGTGTGTATGCCTCTCCTCTGCCACCCCCACATACATACACACACAGAATCACACACACCATGTGCATTGGTGCATGGTGTCCTTTGATGAGAAACTGTGAAAAACAGAATGAAATCAAGACCTGGGCAATAAACAAAACCAAAACCAAAAGGTCAACACATACAAGATTTGATAAAAGGATAAATGGTTGAAAGTGGTATCATTTTGTACTAGACTCTCATTCAGAACCACATACAATAAGCATTTTTGGAACAATTCTCACAGATTTCATAGTCTGGCTTCACAAATTATGACAGATGATAAACAGAATGTGGGAGCAGGTGTTTAGGCTAGTACTTAACACACGCATCTTTCAAGTAGGAGTGCCTGAGTTTTATTCCTGGATCTGGTTCCTAACTCCAGTTTCCCACGGATGAGACTCTGAGGGGTAGAGGGATTGGCTCAAGTAGTTGGGTTTCTGCCACTCACAAGGAAGTCCTCGATTGCATTCCTGACTCCTGG